TTTTTGTTTTTTTTTTTTTGGGGGGGGGGGGGCAAAACCAAAACTTGGTCGACTTGTTAAGTTGTTTATTACAGGATGCCCCATAGCTGTGTAAATAAAAATTACAAATGACGTCCCTGCCTGCACTCTAATTAAATCTTAAAGACACACAAAAAGGGGAAAGCCATTTCAACTTTAAACAATAATTATTTATTTATTAGAAGCTTAGTAGTCAACGTACATACAGCAACTAGAGGTGGGTTAAAGAAAGAGGAAAAAAGCTTGCCACTTCTACATATAAATATAACTAACAGAAGACCCAAAAAAAAGCTTTCCACACAGAACAGAAGACCAAAAAAACAAAAAACAATCATTCTACACATAACTAGCAGAAGACAAAAAAGCTGGTTAGAGATTTAAACAAAAGTGTGCAAGGTTTATTCATTTATAGTTTTGACAAGGGCAAATTAATGTTTAATAAATATATAAATGTTGATAAGACATTGGTAAGATGAAATAATAAAATCAGGGTGCTTTAGTTAGGGGCTCCCAGGGTGCTGTAGCTAGAGGCTCCCTGGGTGATGTACTTAGGGGTTACCAGCGTGCCGTAGTTAGAGGCGGTCTACTATGAAAGAGGTGCCCCTCTGAAGAGACAAACCATTAAGGAAACTGTACACAAAAATGCAAGTGAAATGGACTTCTATCAAAGCTTCTATTTGAAAGCTGGCTAACAGGCTAAATATAACACACAAATTCAAATTTTTAGTGCACCAGAGTATACATTAAATAAGAATCAGACCACAGACACATGACGGGGTTGGAAGGCTATCTAGTTACCATACTTCTAATTAATCGTATGTGGATATGTCCACAATAAATTTCAGGTGTGCAACACTTTTAGTATTGAGCCCACTTTTGTGTGTGCACCTTGAAATGAAGACAAATGTTTACACATCACATCTAAACAATTTTTCAAAAAGGGATGAAAATGAGGTTCTCAAGCTGGGAGTGTTTGATGCCTCAGATGAAGTCTGTGTGAACACATTGAAACATACAGGGGAAAAGGTCATCATTGCTATTGCTCTTTTATTCCACATTATTTGCTGAAACTGTGGTTTCAGAAACGAACATTCCTGACAGTCTGAACATTAAACGAACATTTGAAAAAGTACAAAAAAACTTTTTTGTTCGAAGCTGAATAAAATAATGAGAAAAAGAATCTCCAGGTATCGTAATGTGATAATCAACAAAGATAATATTTTACAGCGTTAAAAAGTATACTTGAAATTGAAAGAAAAATATATTTTAGACCCTAGGTACCGGTAAAAATATTAATTTAACAACGAAAATTCAAATCAATATAGGATATTGGAATTGTATGTGTGAAAAGTGGGGGAGTGGAGGTGGGTAGTCTAATTCCCTAGAACTAGAAGAACAACAAATTTTTTTTGCAGCAAAAATATAAATATATTTAATTTTTGTGACACAAATTTTCAAAGTGAGTCGATGAACAAGGGGTTTATTTATTTCAATATTTATAATAAATTATAATACAATCATAAATCTTATTTTATTTCATAATAGAACTATACTAAACTATAAAGATGAAATTAAGATTTAAAAAAAATTAAATTAGATACTTTAATTTTTTAAAGTTTAAAAAATGTTACCCTTGTGATGATGACCCTTTATGAGAGCAATATGAAGAGGTATCACAGCAATCATTTGTTGTTCTGATTTATTCAAAATATTTTGCCATGAAGTTAATTTACCTCAATTTCAATTTAGTTATTAAGGGAGACAACATTCTGTTCTTTTTTTTAATATACATTTACAGTCATTAATGCCCCTGAATGGTTCAATCAAATTTGAAATATATTAGTTTAGATTTAGATGCTGTGAAAAATGATAAATTTAAAAAAATTGTTTATGCATAATAATAACATTGTTAAGGAGATTATGGTTTGGAAATGTAGCCAATTTAAAAATAATTTTTGGTTTTGTCTTTAACTTTGCTTCATTCCTTTGGAAGTTGTCCAATGAACCGTCCAAGTTTCTTAATCACCATCAACCAATAAAGCAAAACTAATTTTTCTAACTATGAAAGAAAAGAACTTTACAAACATAGTGATAATAAAGCTCTCAAACATATATATATTTATTTATATAATTATCTAGTATAAGTCTATAAAATCGGAATTTTTTTTTATGTAAACTTAAAATATAAGTCAAGTTTTCCCATGATTTTGTAGGTGATCTTCAAAAGTGTATTGATATTGGAGTTCACCCAATAAATTATAATAACTGAACACCATTTTCTCCTCAGCAATAACTGTAACCTTCCTTTCATCCCATCCATCTATGGTTTCAAATTTAAAACTAGTACAATATTTTTGCAGCAAACTCCTACGTGAAAATAAATTGTCCTTTCAGTCAAAATGAGCTTAGTTTATTTGAAGCATTTAAATTGAATTTGACGTAAAACTTCAAAGAGACTTTGAAGAAAAAACTATTATCAAACTTCAACAGGTGAAAGTAAACAAGTTTCATCAATCTCATAAATAAAAATAATCTGTCTTCAAAAAGATAAATGACAACTACATGTTCAGCACTTTTATTTCTTTGTTACTTTGTTTTACAATTTTTTTTCAAATCCTACAATTTCACACTTTATAATTTGATTTTTTTCACAATTTTTTTTTTTTGCTGACAAAATGAATTCTTATGCTTCCGCCAAGACCTAATATTAAAAGTACACGGTATTGGAATGCAAATACAGAGACACAGACTTGTGTTATCAATATTACATATTTTCAAAATAAGTGGCGACATCATTAAAGACTATTTCATAAACAATTGTTTTTGTTCTTTTTTTGAGTCCAGATGTCATGTTGACCCAAACCAGAATTGAACAAGAAATGTTTGGATGTTTTATTTGATCTTGATCGATGGAAGGCAGGAGTTTCCAAACTGGGGGTGCACAGGTTCAAAGGGGTGCACATGATCAAAGGGGGGCACAAAAAGTTAAATCTTTATACAGGCCAATATATCATATATCTCTATATTATTAATGATCTCATGAGACACTGTAATATACAGTTTGGAAACCACTCAGGTAAAGGAACAACTGATAAACTTATTGATATAAATATATAACTAATTAATGAAATAAAATCTCCTATTCCACAAAGGGTGTAAAGTTGTTATAAAACATGTACCTCAATAAACACTGAATGGCACAATTGATTTCAAATGTATTTGAATGCCAGCAATATCAGAGAAGTGACACACATTTATTAACATGAAATAAATGAAAAGATCATACACCAGAGCTAAAGAAAAATTGCTTTCAGATCATTGACTAAAAAACATAAGTGAAATAAAACACACATTATAAATAACTAGGTATTTTTTTTAACAACAATTTTTTTCATGGTTCATAGGCTGAAAAATATTGAGATTTTTGTAAGAGTAGATAAGGTAAAGAGAGGGTCCATTACAGCTACTTAAATAATACGGCTGTGTTAACAATGGCGGTAACATTTTTTTAGGCAGCGACAATTCCTTCGGGGGTTTGGTCTGATATGGCAGCGATACAATTCTTTGCGGCGATCTCGGCCATGGCGTTGCGGGAATCCCAGGTATTGCTTCCCATGTGGGGCAGTATAACGCAGTTGGGCAAGGAGACCAAAGGGTGAGTTGGGGGAAGCGGCTCGGGCTCGGTCACGTCCAAGCCCGCACCTGTGATGTCCCCGTTCCTGAGCGCCTCTGTTAAAGCCTCGTGGTCAATCACACCACCTCTTCCTGTGTTGATGAGGATTGCACCCTTCTTCATCCTCTTGAACACTTCAGCATTAAACATATGCCTTGTCTGTGAGGAGAAACACACAAAACACTAAGCATTATTAAACATATGCCTTGTCTGTGACGAGAAACGCATTAAAAATGTTTTTAGGATCCAAACATGTTACTCAAATTTCTATAGCTTTACAACAGCCAAATTCCCCACCCATTGATGACATATATTTATTAAAAAAATTAAATGTTTACATTCCTAACATTTTTCAAATTTTAAAAGCTTAAAATGGTTCATAAACCTAAGTTGGTATCTGTATTTAGCTCACCAAAATCAAAGAAAGTTAGTTAAAAACAACTTTAAATTCTAAACAAACGAGAAGTTTATAAAGAAGAAATATTTTTAAACTTGTTTCATGATGACCAGAAACAGGTCATTATCTGCATTTAACAAATCCAGAGCAATCATATTGAGCTATCTTACTGTTCATGTTAATGAGTGCCGTTATTTAATTTACCGGTAGATAGACACATTAATGATGGATTGACACATGTTCCTCGTGCAATGTGATCCTTACTTAGGTACAATAACATGCCTCAAGAGTAGCGGTTGACAAGCAACAGCTCTGGAACGGCATGCCATTCTTGGTTGGGATAGAGAGATGGGATAGGTGAGATGGATAGGATAGATGCTGCTCTTTTTACATCTCCCAAAAAGAGCTTCAGATATAATTTATAAAAAGGGTCTTCACTCAAAGACGGTTGCCGACACCTGCACAAAAGAAATGTCGTCTCCCCGCACCCCCAACAGAGCTTCATAAGGGACAAGATCATCTCTAGTCAGTGTCACTGGGACCAGGTCATCTCTAGAGCAGAACCAAGGTCATTTTAACCAGTCATTAGGACCAAAGTCATCTCTAGTCTGAGTATGAAGCTTTAAGTACAGATAGCTATAGTCTCCACATGTTACATTCCTAAATTTTACAGCAGCATTTTCAAGATGGCCAATCTATGTTTTCTTGTAGCCACAAAAACTTGAAAAAAAAAGGACTAAGTATGAGTAGTTTTTTATATTAATTAATAGGTCAGTGGGGCGACAAGCAAAAAAAGGTAGAGATAATGGTCCACACAAGAGCTTGCAGACCAAACGTTCAACACACACACCCACACAAAACAATAAGACGTGAGAACTGAACAAACCTGTGGTGTAAGATTGCAGCAGACACAGATGAAATCACATTTCTCAATGAGACCATCAAAGTCCACAAACTCAGCATCAATATCTTTGGCGTAGCTAACCTGAAAGAAACAAAGAGATATAAAATAACTTTCTTTTCTATTATTTCGCATATAGATATTTTTTTCTTGTTTGGCTTGACTGATGCTTCTAGCCCAAACAGTTACAGTAGACCCAACAAATACATGAAAAGTGAATGTGTCAATACTCAGTCCCTCATGCAGACCAGTGTTGTATATTTTAAAATAGTCAACATAGTCGTATCTCATGCACACAAGTGTAGTATATTTTATAGAAGCATAAATGTTGTAGACCATGTTATGTAACAAAGTTACCTCATTATACCAGTGTTGTATATTTTAAAAGACTCAAGTCTAAGCTATGTAACAAAATTGCCTCATGCACACCAGTGTCATATATTGTTAAGAAGTAGATATGTTAAAGACTTTGTGTATGGAACTTACCTCATGCACATCAGTGTAGTATATTTTAGAGAAGCCGAATGGTTTAAGCCTGCGCCCAACATTGAAACCAATCCTTCCAAGACCATAGATACCCAAGACTCTTCCGGTGAGCTCAGTACCACACAGCCACATCGGCTTCCATGGTCCCCATTCTCCTTTTTTGACCGCCTCAACACCTGTCAGTGAAGAACATGGTGGAATCGATAAAAGCTTTTCACTTATTTGATTGAAACTCCTAGGGCGAATACACCCAAACAACATCTGACCGCTGAACCCCACCCATTAAAAAAAAAAATAAACTCTACCTTCTGTAACTCTGCGTGCTGTCATTAACAGAAGAGTGGCTGTGAGTTCAGCGACGCTGTCTGTCGAAACACCTGGTGTGTTTGCAACCTGGGAGGAAAGCAGCCACATAATTAAATTTGCTCTATGAATGGTGGAGTAAAAAAAGAAAAATCTACATTATATTTACAAGAATTTGCACATAAACTACAGTGTATTAAATTAGAATGTCCATCTCAAACAATTTCAATGGGAAGAATGACTTCATGTCTACCCTGACATCTACAAGTAGATAAATCGATATAGTTCTCCATCAAAGTACACATGATAAGAATTAAGATAAGCAACTCTGTCATTTTATTGTGCATGCTTTATTATATTTATACCCATAGCAATACAAGTCTTGGATATAGGGTACATTCACCTTTTCAGCATTGATTAATCTAAATGACCATATCTTGGTTATTTATGCATTTAAATCTGACGACGTTTGATTTTAGAGGCCATCCACAAATGCAAATTTTACAGATTTAAGTGGAATCATTCCTGCCCAAAAACATTTACTAAGATCATCCCCACCCCAACTATTTTTCATTCTATTCCATTTCATGTGGTTGTCCTAATTCTATGTTTTATTACTCCCGGCTCCATATGTTTGATATAAATTATCTTGAATGCCGATGTCACAACACCCCAATTCTCCTCCTACACGCGGTCCTGTAACTTGATCACAGCCATTTTCAGACTTCGCATACCTGTACTTATTCTTTCAGAGATCGTAGTTTTTAAATAAAATAATTATAACTGTTGTATAAAAGAATAATGTTATGTTAGTAATTTAGTGTTATTCAGTGCAATTTTCTTTCAATAATGCTCCACTTCTTTATGTGAAGTCCCTTTGCTCAAATCCCTTCCACCTCACCACACATCATCACATAAATGTGATCCCCCCCCCCCCACCTGACATGTAACATCATTTATGGATGGCCCCCTTATCACATTTGACTATACTTTAGTACAATACATTCTATTATTAATGCTAAAATACATAATTTGTCAAATATTTTATTGAACCACATCAAAAAGACACAAACAATTTTTTTAATGGCTCCGGGATAAGAAGAGAGGGTTTCCATGGAACTTACTAAAATATTTCTTTTCCCACATTCTTGAAGGTTAATGTGTTCGTAGCCAACTGACATAGTTGCAACAATTTTGAGCTGTGGCCCTAATCAAAGAAAAATAAAACAAACAACATTTTAAATACAAGGCCAAACATATCAGAACATGGATGGAGCAAATAAATAAACTAATTATATTTTAATTTTATATATATACAATAATATACATTTTAAAAAAATAATTTTTTAACATAATCATCATGGTCTTAATGTTGAGAATTGACTACAGAACAGAACTGCAACTAGATTAAGACAACTGAAACATCGTAAGCCTTTAGAGTTTAATATGTTAAAGAATGTTGTTAATGTTTTAGCTTAGGCAGTTAGGACTAAAGGGAATTAAATATAAAAATGTTTCATACATGAGTGTCATGACTAAGAATTTGTCTGTATTGAGAAGTGATAATTGACATGATTTCACTGACAGCATAGTTCACTGACAAGGGCACTGCTGTTGCCTGTTACTGTTTGACATCAGAGCAATGTTGTCACTCTTTTTTTTAACAACCCCCCCCCCCAAACTGGGTCCCATACACATGGTCTTGACATACATAGGCTTCATGGTCTGTAGAAGTCATTTTAGGGTTAGATCTAGGCTAGAAAAGTAAAAGGGCTAGGGCACAGGCATATCCCATTCCCATCCATCAAAGTACTCATAATAACTAGTCAAAGTCATTCATACACTAGCTAGTATTAGTCATATATTATTATAATATATTATTTTATATAACATTTTATTTATAAATTAATATATTATCTCAAATATATGCTATGGCATGGCCCGGCCATGGCCAAAAGTATCAACTATCATCAGTCAACAATTTTCAATGTCTTCATAAAATTTTAATTGATTACAACATATCACCACAACACTAATATAGATTGATTTTTACAAGAATTTATTTAACAATTTATAATATATATATAACACATGAAACTGACTAAACTATGGTCATGGTGGAAAGTGAAGGCATAAACCGATTTGAACTTGATGACCTTTGGCCTTGGCCTTCGCGCACCCATGTCAGGACAAAACCCAGACAAGTTTAATTAATGTGTCCTTACCAAAGATCTGCTGTAAATAATGGAAGTATCTTCTGTTCCACCATATTTTTTTATAGTAACCGTCTTCGATGAATATGGGCAACCCGTCTATGAAACTATTGATACTTAAATTTTAACTAGGATTGACAGTTGACACCGGCTATGTGCCCGACTCGAGCATTGTCTGTTTTTGTAATGACCTAGACCTTCAACAAGGTGAATACAACTAACAACCTCTTTTCCGCTACTCATTAAAATACTAGTGTTAAATTATTCATAATATAAAATAGGTATGCCTGTGACAGTAACACTAAAAGCATATCATTATTAAAAATTTCAAAGTAGAAAAGTCAATAATATCAGTGCGGTCGGTATAATTAAGTTCAGTCAAGTTCAAGGCCACTTTCGCTGTGCGATGCACTGGTGCATAACCAAGTGGGGTTTTTTTGTCAAAATAAATAAAATAAAATTATTTTAAAAAAAATTAAACAATATAAAACACACTCACCTGCGGCATCCAAAACTTCTTCGTCTATTTGATCTGTCAGCATGCATAGTAGAGCATCGTAACGTTTTCCCTTCATGGCTGAAACTAATACATCGTGAGGAATCGCTTCATCACTTTGATATGTCTCTATATTAAATTGTTCAGCTAATTTCGCAAGCCCTGGCTGTGGGATGTTTCGAGTGACATATACCCATTTATCTGGCATTTTCGTTCGTTAAGATCTTAACACAATTAATAAATACCTGATGCCTGTTAAGAGACAAAATTTCTTACTGCCTTAGACGGGAAGAGGTATACAGTAGTACTGTAGTTGTAATCTAGCGGTGTCTGCGCCTTTCTATTGGCTGGTAATCGATTTCCGGATTTTTTCCTAAATTATAAATGTTGTAGTTACGCAAAGTCGAAAGAATATGTGTCCGAAAACAGTTTTCAAATGTTTTTAATAAATCAAACCACTTATAAAAAAAATTAAATCAGATGAAAAGTTTTCTTTCTAATTAAAGGCATAATTTTCCTGCATTCTCGTATTTATATACCATATTCCATGACGACATGCTAAGAATGGCTACAGTACAGTTTCATCATGTCTCACGCAACGCCCCTGTTAATTTCATGATTATTTTAGAGGAATTTTGAGATTAGGTTTTTAAAAATTCACGATCATTTGGGTGCAGCAAGATAAAGGTAGGGTGGGGTGGCCTTTGGAAAAAACACTAATGTTTTATTTATAGACGTGAACGAAATAGCTTCAGTTTTCCTTTAAATAGGACTCCGCGAGGCATCAGTAGCTTTTTGTTTTTTTTTTAACTTTTCAAATTTGTCCCAGCCACTCCCGAACAGTGTTTTAGCTTCATAAACCTTCCAACATCAACACATTTACATAAAACAAAGGAATGTACAAATTATACAGCTGCATAGAACAGTTATTTCACAATCGTTTTTATACTCCACACCCTTGGGGTCGTCCATTAATTATGTCAACATAATGGGGTGGGGGAATTGGAAATGTTTGACAATTGTTGACATTGACAAGGGGGAAGAGGTAGGGTTGCCAGATACGTGGACACCAAAAGGAGGACATTATAAAACAAAAAGGGGGACATTTTGAATGTTTCATTTGAGTCGTCCCGGATTAAACTCACAGTCAGCACAATTTTATTGTAATAGCTGCCAATTAAGTGTATCTTACTCTTAGTGAATCGACCAAGAAACAGTCACATTTAAAAAAAAAAACAAATTCAATCGACGCCTTTTTGAAAATGTCAAAAAAATCATTTAAATAGCCAATTGTACAATCATTACACTTTGCCTCATTCTCATTGCGTCCTTCAACGAAGCAACGAAACTTATTTGTCATAGTTTTAGAGAATTTGCATGTTCTCTTTGTAGAAGCCATTTTTGTTATTACCATTTTTTTAACAAATTTAATTAGTGTAAATTAAAATAGTTTTATATATTTGTATGCTTTTAACAATATAAGATTTATTTAATGTGTGTCTGTGCACTGCTGATGGCTGGTCAGAATGTTAGAACACTTTGTTAGTGCAAGAGATTCAAGAGAAGTCAAAAGTTGGTCTCTCTTCGACTGTAGATTCTATTTCTGGCAAATGACTGGGGCGGTATTTTTGCGGTCATGCTCAAGAGTCATGTGCGGTCAAGATAAACGGCATTGATGGAGCAGGAATAAGATATTTTGAGAATTAGAGGAAAGTAAAGTGAGTAACAATAATTACATCGCTGTTTGAACAGATTTGCAAAACCTGTGCCATCTACTTTGCATCACAAGTCATGTTGAAATAGCAAGTTCAACAGCACCGACAATGCATAAGAAATTACCACCTGCTCCTGAACAAAAAAAAAAAAAAAGGATTCGCCTAATGCAAATAGCTGCCAGAAGACAAAGAGAGAGCTTATGGCATGACAATTATTGCTCACACTGACAATTCTTCTATTTTAAGTGCTGAATGGTTAGATGAGGATGATGTTGACTTGTCTGGTATATCAGTTTCACAAGATGAAAATGATAAATCAGCAACTATGCCCATTGTTACGATAGAGCAACACCTGGCTACTCCCTGGGAAGATTATAGCAGCTAGAAACTACGCTACAAGTGTCAGCTATACTGACAATAATCATATTTCTACTTCCACAAATAATGATATTTAGTCTTTAACACCTTTTCATTGATTCTGCATAACCGGTATAAAATTTAAGTATAAAAACTTTTTTACTTGTTGATTAACAAGCTAAAGATGCACTAAAATATTTTCCTACAATTTTGTGTTATTGAAATAGATAAACACAAAGTATAATGTATTTATATATTTATTTTTTATTGTAATTTATTTTATTTTTTGGGCGGGGTTGGGGGTTATACAAATGTTGACATAATTACTTGGGGGGGGGGAATCACTGAAAAGTTGACAGGGGGGTGGGGGTCAAAAATTGTTGAATTAATGGTCGGCCCCTTTCCAGTTGTTTGACCAAGTGTCGCATTCCTCGTGTAAATAAGCCCAAATATGATTTAAAAACGTCTAATTTAAAAAAAATAATAATTTATAAAATTGAATTGCAAAGAGAATGGTATAACTTTTTTAAAAGAAACATTCAAAAAAGATATTACTATATCATGAAATAAAATTTTAATGAGAGATTTTTAAAAAGTTAAAATCATGTATAAAATAATTTTAAATATTAAAGGTTTCTCTATTCTTATAATCTCGTTTCCTTAAATTTACATTCAATTCTTACAACTCTCCGATAGAAAAAAAAATAATATTAAAAAAATAAAAGTGGAATTTTCTTTTAACATTTTTAGCTCCATCCCACCAATTTTTAATGACACCGCGCCCCAGGAGACGCCCACTTTTTGTGTACACTGGTTACGGCTCATTGAGAAGAGGAGATAATGTGGGCAGTGATCATGCTAAAATGGTTGTTTGGTGCTGTTTTTTCCCCCTTATTGTTAAATTTGCAGAGTCTTAGAGCGATAAACTCAGCAAGGTGTTGAACTGTTGATGAACTCATACCCCCCCCCCGAGAGTTGTTGACATTAAGGTGGCAATGACGGTTTGCACTGCCAACTGTCACTTGTACGTAAGACGAGGCTAAATACCAATGTTTATTCACACAGAACAAACTGAAATCTATCTACTCGTGGAAAAAAAATTGTGTGTGTGTCTGGAGTTGGGGGGGGGGGGAATAAAAGTCGATTTCATAATGTTTAATTAAACATGTGGCTGCTCCTTGTTGTAATGACGTCACAAATCGATTGAAAAGAAACATATTTTTCAAGACTAAAATCCAATTTCATTATCTATTTTTTAATGAATCGACCACAATGTCTAATTAGGTGTTATCTGGAAAAAATATGTTTCTGTTCATTGAAAAGTGATACATTTTACTATTGGATTTCGACCAGTGGGTCTCAAGATGTTTACCTTCAAAATTGGATGGACAAAGTGTCCACGGTGTATTTCTCTTTGCCGTATTTGCACCTAATGGTGCTTAGACTGTTCAAATCGTGCGCCCATTCATCTCCGGTCTGTGTCATCACTTCCCGATTGTTCACTTCTTGCCGTTTCTCCCACACTCTGTCTATCGATGTCCATTCTCTGTGTGCTCTGTGGTCTTCTTCTTTTCCTACTGGCAAGTGGATTCCATGACAGAGACTTCTGATAGGGCCTACTTCTATCGATTGCATTTCACAGTATAATTTTTACTTACGATCCTCTCCTTAGAGAAACAACACATTTTGTTCTAGTGTGTCTTAAAATCAAAATATTTTGTATTGATTAGTTCTAGTGTGTCTTAAAATATAAAATATAAATCTAGATCTATAGGCCTATATATTAATCTTTTTTTAATTTTTTTTTTTAAGTTGAAAACAATTGAATGAGTGACAAAATGTTACTGAATTTATTTTATTTTGCCTCGAGAAATTAAAAATAAAACTGAATTTTATCTCTATCTTTCTTTAAAGGTATTTTGAAAGAGGGAGGTATTTCTACCCCTGTTTAAGAACCACTGTTATTGACTAGTCTAGTGAAATGTTTCTGACACAGGTGCAATAATTTGATAACCACGGGAGGTGAATTTCTTAAGGTTTGTAAAGGACAGTAGTGGACACAGGGACTTTTTACTAGTTTAGTGGGGATTTGCGACGTTATTTTGGGGGAAGGGGGTCAAACTTTTTGTGACGATGGGGAAAAAAAAGGGGGGGGGGTCAAAATCGGCAAAATTTGCGTGACGTCAATTATAGATGGCCCTTATACAATGATAGACTATACTAATTAATAGTTAGAAATATAACGCTACCAATACTAATACATCAATTTGTTTTAGAGAGTTCATCATTAGCCCCTGTGTATCTTGTTTCGACAATTTATTGTATTAATTTTTTAAAATGATAAATTGGGGAGATATACCATAGGTTAAAACAATTTAAATATTTTTTTAAACTCCAAAAGGTCTCATCCGGTCATTCGCCACATTTTCTTTTTATGCAGGGGACATAACTACGTTAAGTAGATTGAGTTTATTTCCGTTTTTGAAATAAGGTATTTAGGCGCGAATTACCTACATCTATTCAAGTTTATTTATATATTTATTAACTATATATTTTAATTCCCTTAATTTTTTTGTTTATTTTTAAAATGTCGTGTTTTATTAATAAGTGTACTATTTGTTCGCTTAAATTGTCAATTTCTAATGATGTCACTTTGGGGAATCCCTTTTATGAAGAGCTCGTTCAGGGATCATTCCTTAAAATAATCGAAACAGTGTTTATTAGTAATATAACTTTAAAAAATTACATCTAATGTGCATATTGGCAGGACCGTGCTAAAAGGAGGGAGGGGGGCGAGGGGTCACTCGCACTGGGTGCCGACAACGGGGGAATCGTCTTTAGCTAGGAACTTAATAGAGAAAATAACAATAAAACCCCAATTAGTTCACAAAGGCAATGGTCGTCAAAATCCCCTGTTTACTGGTGCACCCCGGATATCACCCTTTTCTATATACTGAGAGGAACCATTTTCAGGCTTCACCCCGGGCGCCGCTTTTCCTCGGCATGGCCCAGCATGTTGCATAAAGTACACTGGGCGTCGGAAGCTTCAGAGACCCCGTATGTTAGCATCTGCTGTTTAAAGGCCTTGTGGTTAATCATGGGACTTAGTAGGCCTTCTTGGACTAACGTCTATAGGTGGGTGGGGGGCAAACAATTTCTAAATATGTCTAAGCCTGATGATGCAGTATTGTTCTATTCAGAATTGCCCAAATCTCTTTTAGAAACTTACACTCATCTCTTCTAGAAACTTACATTCATCTCCTTTAGAAACTTAAATTATTCTCCTTAAGAAACTTACATTCATCTCCTTTAGAAACTTACATTCATATCCTTTAGAAACTTACATTCATCTCCTTTAGAAACTTACATTCATTTCCTAGCTAAGAAATTTTTATGCCTCGCCGCACACATTTATTTTCCACCCACAACGGTTCTCATCTTGTAATATGGGCCTACATTATTGCAAATGGACCCTTATGTTGGCTGCACAGATGGCCTCCAAATGTTTTATTCCAGGAAGAGGTGCTGTAATTTCAGGACTTTTATCGAACTACTAACGGAAATTTTACGATATTTTTCTTTTGATGATAACTCCAGTAACATTATTACATATGCAACAGTTTGGCTTAGCCATTTGTAGAATTCACTGCTAAATTTTAAGAACCCATAATATAAATTTCATGATCCACTGAGACATTATTTAGTCTACGACACGGGAAAATAGTTAAACCTTCTTAAACATGCATTTAAATGTTTCAATGGTTCAAATTCTGTTTTTTTTAAAAAGTTGTTATGTTGTTTTTCTTTATGTTTACGTAGGCCCTATATTGCCTATGTACTGCACCGTTTATTAAACGAAAAGGTTGAACGGATGCCATCGTCCCTCTCCGCCAACTGCGTGAAAAAGTTTCATCTGGCTTTGACAGGGTTGACGGGAAAGCAGCTCTGGGATGTGATGAAAATCTACGGTGTAAAAGGATAACTTCTTGCTAACATCTCCTCGGTGGAGACCAAAGTCAGGTCAATTAACGCCGCTTATAGGCCAACGCGTTCTTACCAGTGTCAAACCTGGGCACTGAATAAAAGTCTCGAGAGAAAAAATATTCACCTGCGAGATGAGATGTTTAAGGGGAACAGATGGTAAAACACGAATGGACCACATTTGGAAATAAGGAAATAAGACAAATGGTTTGTACCCTCAGCAAGTATATTGCCCAACACAAATTAATTGGTCTGGCCACCAGGTTAGAGTGCCCTGTCAACCAACCTGCATTGCAAGTATACAATAGCTCTTAAAAAGGAGTACTCCGTTTTCAGGGTCACAGCAAGACGTTCTGTGGACTGACTGCGTTACTGTTCTGGACACCCTAAGAACCCTCGACTTAAAGCTCCAGCAGGCTTCCCCCACCCCCGGGCTGCCTCACCAATAAAAGCGGAAAGAAGTTGAATAGCATATAGGGCATACGGTACGTAAAGACGATTAATTTTAAACTCGAAACATGTATGAAGCTGAAGATGTGTGTCTGTCTGAGTTTTTAAAAAATCACAATCTGTAAATTCTAGTGTTACAGAGTGTTAAGTTTTTCCGCAATGAATTTCCGGGCCAACGTGACTAGCTTCAGCTAACATTGTCATTATTCTCATAAAATAGGAAAATTCGAGTTTTATTTTTGGGACATTAAATGTTTAGTAAATTAAATTAATTATTAACAAAAGCCGATAGTTTCTCATCTAAAACATTATATTCCTTATTTTTAAAAATATGATTTTCAATGATTTTTCAAATCCACACAGAAAATCGTCCCAAACGATGACATTTAATTTTTATCAAAGTTTTGGAATACGCGATAGCCTATTAAATTTTATTTTTATTTAAAGCACCCAATTTTGATGTTAGCCAACATTACATACTCTTGATGGAAAAAATCGAGATGTTACATGAATCTGCGAGAACTTTTTTAACGTTTAAGGGTTTGCGATACGTGAGCATATGGGAGGGGAAAGAGCAGATATTCTTTAATCAATGAACAGAGCCAACTAACTCCAGTCATTGTCGTTTATGAGATGCTCAATATAAGACTAAACTTCTTAGTCTAACTAAACTATTAAATGATTACTCCCAGTTTCTATAAATAACATGATATATCCACCGGAAGTAAACAAAGGGACCCCCTGACCTCTTTAGGACCACTCTTTACGATCCTAACAAATTCTACACCTAATCAAGCGGTAATGAAATGATTATTTTATGATTTTTAATAACACTTTAAATTAAGTTTTACTTATGATAGCATTAAAATTTCAGCAATACATTCTTTTAGTTTCAGGGCTATAAAAAATACATTAAAATATAAGCTTCTAAGGTAAATCTATCTATAATAGATAGTGGTAAGTAACAAAAAGTAAAAAGTTGGTTCATCATCAAATAAATTAATTAGTTAAATTAGTAGGCTTAGTTAGTAGGCCTAACCTAACTACTTATTCAAAGTAAAAAATAGAAAATCTTCTTTCAATTTGTAGGATACCTGGTCGTCTACTCTGTATGATAGTTACATCGTGATAAAATGAAGTACCGAGGACGTCTAAAATTAAATCAACACTTTACACTTTATTTTATAAATTAAATGCATAATAATTAAGTACGACGTTAGTTACTATAACTATAATTTATAATAAAATAGTTTAATAATTTTTTTATGTATATAAATACGCTAAAGTGTGTTGATTATATAATTTTAGACATCTTTAGCACTTAATTTTATCATGATAATAATATAACTATCATAGTCATAGGAAATGAGTGAAAAATCAGAAAAAATGAACGCAACAAAACACGGCATGAATGTCAGGATTTCATTCACCTGTTAATCCTTCGCTCCACCCTCTGAGTCATGACCAATCGCAGTGGACTTGCTTCTCCTCTTTTCTTTTGCCTGGATTTAATCTCTCACCTACTTATTTTCTGTCCAATTCTTTTGCTGCCCTCTCGTATACTTCTTTTCAGCTAAGAGCTATTTTTATTTAATTCGGTTTTACTGTTGTTTGTTCGCTGATTCTGGCTTCCTGTTCGTTATTTCGTTGCGTTTATTTTTTCAGGTTTTCCCATGCTTTCTTTCACTAATTTCCACTAATTTTGTTAACCTGATTGCAGTCTCTCCCCCTTATTATTATCATTTAACTATCATTCAGAGTAGACGACCAGGAATCATTCAAATGGAAAGATGAGTATTAAGTAGTTAGGTAGGGCCTAGACTAGATACCAGCATTGTTAGGCCCATGCCATCTATTTTAAAATTTACTGGACAGAGAAGGCTTTAAATGCCTACTTACTAGCCTATACGCTACACTAATACAGTACACTATGAATTGTCATTGATTGCATAAAACCATAAATGATAGGCCTAGCATGATATAATTTATTATAAATAATAATAGAAATGTTTTAATTTGAAATTTAACCCTAATGATTAAGCTAATAATAATAATTAATATTATATTTTTATGAATATGCCTCAGCCTACTAATTTCCCCCTAATTCTATAATTTATATCAGCAAAGGCCTATAATAAGGAAATAGCCTAAGTTATTTGTAGTTAGAATAATACAATAATAAATTTAGTTTATTTATATAATTCTCTAGGGCTAGATTCGACATAATGTACTCTAGGCCTAGGCCCCCCACAATAGGTCCATATGATATGATCAATGATATATTATAAATTATTTTTATAGGCCTAATGCTTAATTTGGGTTTGATTTTCTATTTTCTTAATAACCTATAATTATATATATATATATATATAAAAGCTTTAGGCCTGAAAACTTATAGTAAAGCCTTCTTATAACTTATTAGTCATTACTTAAGCCTATTTAAAAGTTGATTTTGATAATTAAAATTCGGTAGGCACACTAAATTTATGTTAGTTTATCCAACTACTGAACTAGAACTACCAATTGATGATTGACTATTAAATCTCGTGGTATTATATTTTGCAAAATATCTTGTTAACATTTTTTTTAAATATATCAATCATGGGCAGCTAAAATCCCATTTTTTAATCAGCAGATATCTGAAAGGAAAAAGTATGCCTCCAAAACAGAAAGTACAGCTTGACAAAGGTGCCTGGCAGTGGGCAGAGACTACAGATTACACTAATGTCACAGAGGAGCATGTCAAGATGGCTTATAGAGTTAATCTTTCAACATGTGAGCGAGCAACTTGCAAGTATGTAAATTTTTTATGTTATTGTAAATTACATCCATGCATTAAAGTATCATCAAAATCATATTCTGTCATACCTTCTTCGAAAAGTTCTCAAATTTTTGTTAAAAGAACAAAATATTAAAAATTTAGATACTTTTGTCAACATTTTTCAGTTCTGTATTTGATGAATTATTTAAAAAACTTTTTAGCTTAATTAGTACATATTTTTGTTTCTTATCAATGTCAAATCCTTACCATTAATAGTACATGGCTGTATATTTATATGAACTCTTGCAAAGAATTTTAAGTTTCTGTTCTGAGATAAATTTAAAAAATTTATTATAATTTCAAAAAGATCTATATCCATTCTCAAACATATATGAAAATTGCTATAGATATTTATGAAATTATTATAAATTTTTAAAATTTTGTTTATTCATTGCAGTAAATGGGTTAATAAAGAATTCTTTCAATGAAATTTGGAGAGAAAAATCATTATTAAAGCTGAACGTGTATTGTTTTATTTACACAAATTGTTTGTGTCTAATTAAATCTACCTAGAAAGATAAAATGTTTATTATATTTTAACTGTCAATTTGTTCAGGCGGAACTGCAAAGGTAACCCATTTTGTTTGAATAATCTCGGAGAGAAAAAGTGGTACTGCACAGTTGACGAAACAAAGTGGCAAAATTTTGATCCAGATTCTGAACGTAGGCAAAAGGTAAGTTCTATTTTTAGCCCTTACACAGTAAATGTAAATTAAACAATGTCAAAAAGAGATTTCATTAATTTCAAATTAGGTTAAAATGTGTCATTAAATATTTTGTTATAAATGTTTTATTTATTTGTAAGTCAATAAATTTGTTTATTTTCAAATGCTCTTTAGTCATATCAACACTTAGAAGTTTTCAAATGTTCTTTAGTCATATCAACACTTAGAAATTTTCAAATGTTCTTTAGTCATATCAACACTTAGAAGTTTTCAAATGTTCTTTAGTCATATCAACACTTAGAAATTTTCAAATGTTCTTTAGTCATATCAACACTTAGAAGTTTTCAAATGTTCTTTAGTCATATCAACACTTAGAAATTTTCAAATGATATTCTTTCTTCGTAATCTTAGTGAGATTTTCTCAAAACAGTAAGAATAATGAAGTATATATTTAATATGAATGATTCCTTATGAACTAATTGATTGTTTCCCTTTTTATAAGTGATTGAATTATGAAGCCTTTTAGCTATAGTGATTGATTTTTTTATATTGATAGTAAAACTCCGATTGAATAGTCATAAATGGATAATCTCATCTTTTAAGGGAAATATTTGATTGTAGCACTCATAATGAAACATTCCTCTGGGGTTTAGCAAAGGTTTGACAAAATGCTGGGCTTAGTAATGTAAACTTCCAAACATAAGACTCTAATAAGGAACATTTATTTTTAGAAATTTATTTTTAGTACTTATTTCAAGAAGATTCTTTGAAGTTCATTAGTTTCAAAATGTATGCCTTTTATGCTTCTTGAAAAGAAAGTCACATCCATTCTATAACTGTATGGCAAAAATGTAATTGAAAATTGTAGATATTTTTTAATTTTTAAAAAATGTTTTTGGTTAATTTTTAAAAAAATGTACACTTATTATTTTCCCACCAGGGCCACTTTGTGGGCTTAAAAAATTTGGGAGCAACTTGCTACGTCAACACATTTCTACAGCTCTGGTTTCATAATCCCATAATTAGACGAGCAGTTTACGAGTGGAGGGAGCCAACCCTGCCCAGCGACTACTGTAAGTTGTTTCATTGTCAATATGAATAGCTCCTTTGTTATGTGTCCAGATATCCCAATGTAAAGTGCCTAGCGACTACTGTTAGTTGTTTCACTGTAACTATGCCTAGCTCCTCATTGTGTGCCAAGGTATCCCATTCTAAAGCAAAGTATTTAATCCCTTACCTAGTGTCTAGTGGAGTTTTTTAATAGAATTTTATTCCATCCAAAAATAGTTGCTTTATATTACATGGCTAACAAGTCTATTCAAAGAAACTATTTTAAGCAGAGCTTGCGACAACCCCATATGTGTTACGAGAGAAATAGAAATACATCAATGTGAGAGTGTGTCACAAGAGTCAGTTTTTATAACAGAAACATGTCACTTACAAGAACAAAGTTATAACATACATCCCTTATAACAACAAAGTCAGAACATACATCATTATAAGATCAAAGTCAGAACATACATCATTACAAGAACAAAGTCAGAACATACGTTGCCTATAAGAATAAAGTCAGAACATACATTGCTTATAACCACAAAGTCATTTCAGTGAATTTCACATTTTCTCCCCAGATGAGGGTTGGAAACCTGATTCAATCTGCGGCCACCTCCAAGTTATATTTGCATTACTACAGTCCAGCAGAAGATGGTAGGTATTAGTTTATGTTCCAAGTCCTACTACTAGAATTGAATCAGTCAGTTTAGGGAATTCTTTTTTTTTCTGCTGTTTATTGCTGAAACTGGGTTTCCTGGACAGATCTTCTTAATAGGATTGTATCTCAACATGGACAGATCTTCTTAATAGGATATTATCTCAGCACAGACAGATCTTCCTTACAGGATCATATCTCAGCACAGACAGATCTTCCTAATAGGATCCTATCTCAGCACAGACAGATCTTCCCAATAATAATAATAATAATAAAGTTTATTTCAAAAACACCCTTCATCCCCAAAGGCTCGAAGCGCGGTACAAAGTCAACAAAAAACAAATCTATAATTTACCACATTTAAAACAAACGCAACACTACAAAAACTAATTACAAGCATACAATGTCAAAGTCTTTCTAGCCATTTCAACCATAAGCAACACAGCCAATATGAATTAACTGGAAAATAAGGTAGACAATCATCCCAGAAGGTGTTTGCGAAATAGATGTGTCTTTAAATCGGTTTTAAAGGACTCCAGTGTCTGATTGTTTCTGAGATCGACAGGAAGGGCGTTCCAAATTGTTGGACCAGCAAATGCGAAAGTGCGCTTTCTGTAAGTCTCAAGGCAAACACGTGGTGTCGAGAGTTTGCCACTATTGGATGAGCGGAGTCGTCTTAGTGGGTACATAAGGTGTCAGCAGCTCTTTCAGATAGGACGGCGCCAGGTCATGTAAGCAGCGGTAGCACAAAGTTGCGATTTTGTACGCTATGCAAGCACGCACCAGCAGCCAGTGCAACTCTCTCAGAAGTGTTTTTGCATGGTTGAACTTGCGTTTGCGGAGAACAATGCGAGCCGCATTATTCTGTGCTATTTGAATTTTATCCAGGAGCGTAGCTGGAAGAGCCACCATGAGAGCATTGCAATAGTCCATGCGTGATAGCACAAATGCAGACATCAGCCTCTTTGTTGCATCAATTGTAAGGAAGGGCCTGATGTGACTAATCCTGCGCAGCTCCAGAAAAATCGCCTTGCATAGCATGTTAATATGACTTTCAAAAGTTAGTCTTCTATCTAGGTAGACACCCAGGTAATAGGATCATATCTCAGCACAGACAGATCTTCTTCTTCTTCTTCTATATTTTAAGGGCCCACGATCAATTTATTGATCATTTTGGCTCCTATGCATGTAGATGGGATTTGCAATGTTTCTGTTACTGGTGTTGATGAGGAAATTATGCACTAGGGGTTTGAAGGCTTGAGGCAATAGACACAAATGTGTCTAGTGTTGTCGCCTCAACTGTTCCTTTTGAAAGATGGTTCCAGTCCCTGATTGTCTTGGGCAGGAATGAGCAGCTCCTATACTGGCTTCTTGCTGGTATGAGCCTGAATTGCCTGTCATGGCCTCGTCGCTGTCTATGGGGGAGAGGGACGAGTTTCTGTTTAATACTGGAACAGTGGACCAGCCCATTATTTATCTTGTACATCATGGAGAGCCTGGATTGTCGTCGTCGTTTCTCCAATGGTGACCAGCCTAGTGTTTCTAGCATGCTGCCAACACTAGAGGTATTCCTGTAGCGGTTTAGGACAAAGCGTGCTGCTCGTCGCTGGACCGCCTCCAACCTGTCAATGCTCTTCTGGGTAAATGGGTCCCAGACTGAAGATGCATAATCTAAAATCGGACGGATAAAGGCTTTATATGCTCTTTCTTTCACACAGGAGTTGCCAATCTTTAGATTTCGCCTTAAGAACCCCAAGGCTTGGTTTGCTTGGTTACATACATTGTTAATATGCTCGTCCCAGCGGACCTCTCTTTGAATGGTAACACCCAGGTACTTTACGGAGGAAACTTGCTCAAGAATATGGCCGTGCAGTTTGTATTGGTAGTGTAGAGGAGTACAACTTCTAGAGATTGATAGTGTCTGGCACTTGGCAGGGTGAAATTCCATGTCCCAGCTCATCTCCCACTCAGCTAACAGATTGAGATCCTGTTGTAGCTGGTCCTGGTCAGATCTGTTGGCGATCGTCCTATACACTGCTGTGTCATCTGCAAACAGTCTTGCCTGTGATGTCAGTTTCTCCGGTAGGTCATTAATGTATGCTAGGAACAAACAGGGGCCCAGGACTGATCCCTGGGGGACCCCTGACTTCACATTGACAAAGGAGGAGCTTGTACCGCCCACCACTACTGCTTGGCGTCGGTGGCTGAGGAAGCTAGAGATCCATGTTTTAGTGGTGCCTTGAATCCCATATATCTGGAGTTTGTGTAGAAGCAAACTATGATTCACCCGGTCAAATGCTTTTGCGAAGTCCATTACTAGCACGTCAGTCTGCTTGTGGTTCTCCAGATTGGTCATCAAGTCTTCTACAAATTCGAGAAGCTGGGTCTCACATGACCTATTGACTCGGAAGCCATGTTGACAGTCATTGAGTATATTTTGGCTTTCAAGATGCTTCATGACAGAGCTTACGATTATGTGCTCCAACAGTTTGCAGACGACGCTAGTGAGGGATATCGGACGATAGTTGGCAGGGTCGGAATGCTCCCCTTTCTTGTAAATTGGAGTGACATGCGCTGTTCTCCAGTCTGCTGGAACATTTCCTGTGCATAGTGACGATTGGAAGAGGATTGTCAGTGCAGGAGCGATTTCTTTGGCTAATTCTTTGAGCACTCGTGGTTTAATGTTGTCAGGACCACATGCTTTGTAAGGGTTAATGGTATTGAGGAGGGCAAACACACCTTGTTCTGATATCTGGATATCTCCCATGATAGGATAGGCTCTGTTCATCATTTTGGTCTTCAGAAGGAACTCAGTCTCAGAGTACTCTCTACCGTCACCAAAGACCGACTGGAACTGCTGATTGAGTATCTCCGCCTGTGCTTTTGGGTCAGATGTCAATTGGCCATCCCACCTCAAGGGGGAAACTCCAGCGTTTGAGGACTTTTGGTGTTTCACATAGCTCCAGAAGCGCTTGTTCTTGACATCTTTGGTCGGGGTGTCTTCCTCTGAGAAGATGCCGTTCATGTAGTTCCAATACGATCTACGCAATAAGCGTTGAATGGTTCGGCGGAGTCTCAGTACCTCCTCTCTCAGTTCCATCGAGCCATTTTTCTTCATGCGTTTGTATTGGCGGTCTCTCCTGTGGATGAGCCTACGGATTTCAGCCGTGACCCATGGCTGATTTATCCTAGGTTTGGTGATTTGGTGTGGTATAAATTTCTTCACTGCATCAGTGATTGTAGTCTTGAACTTCACCCACAGCTCGTCTGTTGTCGCTGTACCTTGAATCACCTTCATGTTTGAGCTTAGCTCTGTGGTTGCAATCCTTAGGCCATCCCAGTCTGCCTTGGCATAAATTGGGATTTCTCGAATGATTTGTTTCATTTTTAGTGTGTTGACCTGAAATTCACAATAAGGAATGTTGTGGTCCGAAATCCCGGGGATGACCTCAACTTTTTGGACACGATGTGGACAATTGGTGAGGAGTAGGTCAAGAGTGTTTTCCCCCCTCGTGGGTTCTTTAACCAGCTGTTCCAGACCATGGTTGTTAATTATCTCCATGAATTCTGAGTGTAGAACAGGGTATGGGGACTTGGGCTTCAAGGCAGGAATCTGCCAATTCCAACCAGGAAAGTTAAAATCCCCCCCTATAAGGAGAAAAGCGTTTTTTGACTGTGTTGCTCTGTGAAGCGATACCTCGAACCTCCTCAGGCTTGGTTCATCTGCTGTATTTGGTCGATAATAGGCACACACGTAGAGTGTGCGTCTACCCTTTAGTTTCAATTTTACCCACAGGATCTCGCAGTCGTCAACATCGAGTTCTGGAACAGCGTGGCAGTCCAAGTTGTGATGGACTGCAACAAGCACTCCTCCTCCTCTGTCTTTTCTGTCTCGACGAAATACTTTGTATATATCTGGTACAACCTCTGCGTTTGCTATGGAGGGATTCAGCCATGTTTCTGAGCCCAAGATGATGTCGGGTTTTAGGCTGTTAATTAGGTTAGCTATCTCTACTCGCTTACCACTTGCAGACTGGAAGTTTACATTTAATATGCGCAATGGCCTGTGTCTCCATTTGTCTTGTTGACTGCAGCGCATAGGAGTAGAGCAGTGTGGTGGTTGAAAACTTCGAATGTCTCTTGGTGTGGAGATTGAGTGGTTCAGAGAGAAATCTGGGAAGGTAGAGTCTGTCCCTGCACTATGTGGGTCAAACACAGACTGGTTAATCTGGCTGCCGCAGACAGTACAGTGCCATGGCACGTCAGAATTTTTAGCATGTTGGTTGTAATTAGAAGTGTCGATGCTTTGGCATTGACGATGGAACCATTGCCCACATTGTTCACAGGCAACGCCCCTGTCCTCCACATGTACAACATGGTCACATGCTCCGCAGATCCATGATGACTGGGATTTGGAACTTGATGGGGTATGCAAGGGAGAACCAGCACTAGTAGTAATGTTCGGTCCAGGGTTGGGTTCAGGAGAGTACGAATTTGCGAGGAGGATGCAGGCCAGATACAATAGTACCAGTTTTTGACGGCCTAAGGGCCTCTGAGTAGAGCATGATCGGGATGCTCTATGTAAAATGTCTATAAACACACAGTGAGCAGTACCAGCTATGCGGAAAACTGTCTTCCCACTGAAGTCCAAACTGTCAAATATAAGGCCTATTTCTGGTCTCTCGGCATCAAAAATGAACAATTTATTTACCAGAGCCGTTACCACAATTGTATATAGTGTAATATTGTATTTGAACATACTACAAGTCACTCCGTGTGTTTCAGTCTGAGAGCACACACAGCAATAGAGTTTTGCTACGCTTCAAGTAAGACAGGAAGTGGTAACAAAAATGGCGTCGAATATCAACAATGCAGTACAAACCCCGAAATCACATCATTAGCCAAGCATTTTGAAGACAGTGACTTTTGGCTCATCCCTTGACCAGCAATGGTGACATTTTAGATTATAAATCACAGTTTGTTGAGGATTTACTTGACTAATAATGTCATAGTCAAAGAAATATTCCTCATAAAAAAACATGTACACTAATCCCATCTAACCGGAAGTTACTTCCTAATAGGATCCTATCTAAGCACAGACAGATCTTCCTAATAGGATCCTGTATCAGCACTATCACTGGAAACCAAGTTACACTGGTAGTGGCCATAGCTGTAGAAGATGGGAGAGAGATATTGGATACCAGTATTTCAAATTTGAATATTGATTATTCTTTTGTCTACAAAGTCCTTTATGTAACTGGTCACCTTCCAACTAGTAACCTTCCAAATGGTCACCTTCCAACTGGTAACACCTTCCAATTGGGTACCTTCTAACTTGTAACCTTCCAATTGGTCACCTTCCAACTGGTCACCTCCCAACTGGTCACCTTCCAAGCACATGGGTTTTAGGATGCTCTGGTTGCAAACAATGACACTAATTCATGTGTAAGTCAAATATTGTATACACTATATGCCTAAAAGAAAAGACGGGAGAGAAAATAATGTCAAATATTATATACACTATATGCCTAAAAGAAAAGACGGGAGAGAAAATAATGTCAAATATTATATACACTATATGCCTAAAAGAAAAGACGGGAGAGAAAATAATGTCAAATATTATATACACTATATGCCTAAAAGAAAAGACGGGAGAGAAAATAATGTCAAATATTATATACACTATATGCCTAAAAGAAAAGACGGGAGAGTAAACAATGTCAAACTGTGCTATTGCCTGACTATTATTAATTTTAAGTTGTCGATTTGTAATGCACTGGGCCTCGTTAGATTCGGCTACAACTTTCACCTTTGTGTTTCTGTAGAACGCTGAATAAGATAGATAACATAAGATTCTTTTATTGATCTAATTAAATGGAAATGTTTTTTGATTGCATTGCTCATATACATTTTCAGCACATAAATAAATATATATTTTAATAAGTCCACAAATTTTCAACTAAAAAATTTGAACACAAGACATCTACATTAAATTATTTCACTAGTGAAAAAAAAGCAGCCATTCAGTGAACTCCGTTAGTCAAAACAAGGACTTATTAGTTCTCGTTAGATAAAGATACATAGTTGAACTTCAGCCCGCAGTTTTAGTTTCCATGTGACTTTTATGTTATCATGCTCTGGTGGTTCCTGCTTCTATTTGGTAAATGTCTGCTGTTATATTTTAAAGGATAAACAAAGTGTGATTGCATTTCACAGCATGATTTCTATTTATCCACAGTTCATTTATCAACAGTTAGTTTATCAACATTTCATTTAGCAACAGTTCACTTATCAACAGTTCATCTATCAACAGTTCATTTACCAACAGTTCATTTATCAGCAGCTCATTTATCAACAGTTCATTTATCAATAGTTCATCTATAAACAGTGCAGACTGCAGAAAAAAATTCTCCACTTTTCATCTTAACTAAAACAAAAAGTCTGTACTTGGGAAATTTTGTTGATTTCTTTTTGGTCCATTTTCTTGTTACAACTCATATGGTGCTTTATTACTTTTTAGTTACGTGGACCCAAGCGCTTTGATTGAATGCATAGGACTCGACACAGGAGAGCAGCAGGTAGGTTTTTAGAGAAAAATTTTTTATGAATATTTTTTTTAGAAAACAAATATTGTCATGTGACCACCAGGGGGTGCTAAGTTCTGGCTTGAGCTTGAAGATTTGGTTTAACCCCTTACTGACCATCTTTCTCTTTTATGTCATACATTGACTGTTTTACACTGAACATTTTAGTATAGACTTTTTACTCCTTCTACCAGTTCCCATGCTTTTAGTATTTTTACACAGTTTATTCTTTAGTGCACTAGGCATATTTTCAATTTTGGAAATAATTTTTTTATATCATTAACATATGACTAATAAATTTCAGCACTGAATAAAGTTTTGGAATATGCTAATCAAGGTCACACAGGAGGTCACGTTATGAACACACACTGCAACAAATAGTTTGTTTTTATTACAAGACATTAGTTAAATGTATTTACTTTTTTTTTTTTTAAATCAGTGTATGGTCTAAAAACATGTTTCCTTGAATTGCATTGACTGTTACACAAAGGCATGTGAGTGTACACTGACTTTAATTTGGACTAATGCACTGACACCGCCAGCCTTGACCCAAAGCAATGACACCACCAGCCTTGACCTATTTTCTACCGCCCCCAAATTGTTTCCATTTATTTCATCTGCTCTCATTACCCCTTCTGTTTATTTTTTTTATTAACCAGATGACATCATTTAGTCATGATATAAAGGGGAACTAATGCTATAAATATTCTTATGTCATATCATTATCTTGTTGACTCTCAAAGCCTGATTCGGGCCAGGAGTACCAAAAAATTAAAATCTAGCAGGGCCAGTTAGCTTGTGGGAGTTGGCATATGCTAAAAGCAAAAATAAATAAACTAAAAAATTGAAATAAATGTGTAAAAAAAAACAACAACAACGGCTGTCATAAAGATGTCAATTTGATTTTATTTTGATTCTCATTTTCTACAGAGAATCATGAAAATTGGGGATTTTAATGGTTTCACTTTCATCTTCCAAAAATAAATTTTCATTCATGATAAATTTTTGGTATGATGGAATATACATTCCATTTAATACATTATTCTATTTGAAAAATATAAAATAATAAATAACCTATTATAGACTGTTACTAACAAAGTATAATTAAAAGTAAAGATGCATTCAAAAATCATCAGAAGAAACATTTTCATTAAAAACTATTATTTGAATCAGACTTATTTACAAAAAGTATTACATTTTAATCTTGGCACATGTATTGGCTTTATTAAGACTGATCCATTTAAAACACTTAAAAAGAAAAAAAAAAAAATTTCTAAAAAAAAAATTCAAAATCCATTTCCAATAGAAATGAACTTTAAATATATGCTTTCTTGACTGCAGGATGCCCAAGAGTTCTCTAAGCTGTTTCTCCACCACCTAGAGGCTGCTCTGTCGGGAGTGGTCCCCGAGAGACACAACGTCATAGTGCAACAGTTCTGTGGAAGTTACTGCTATGTTACAGTGTAAGCCAACTTGTAGTCTTTAGTGGTCTGTGAAAGTTACTGCTATGTTACAGTGTAAGTCAACTTGTAGTCTTTAGTGGTCTGTGAAAGTTACTGCTATGTTACAGTGTAAGTCAACTTGTAGTCTTTAGTGGTCTGTGAAAGTTACTGCTATGTTACAGTGTAAGTCAACTTGTAGTCTTTAGTGGTCTGTGAAAGTTACTGCTATGTTACAGTGTAAGTCAACTTGTAGTCTTTAGTGGTCTGTGAAAGTTACTGCTATGTTACAGTGTAAGTCAACTTGTAGTCTTTAGTGGTCTGTGAAAGTTACTGCTATGTTACAGTGTAAGCCAACTTGTAGTCTTTAGTGGTCTGTAAAATTTACTGCTATGTTACAGTGTAAGCCAACTTGTAGTCTTTAGTGGTCTGTGAAAGTTACTGCTATGTTACAGTGTAAGCCAACTTGTAGTCTTTAGTGGTCTGTGAAAGTTACTGCTATGTTACAGTGTAAGCCAACTTGTATTCTTTAGTGGTCTGTGGAAGTTACTGCTATGTTACAGTTTAAGTCAACTTGTAGTCTTTAGTGGTCTGTGAAAGTTACTGCTATGTTACAGTGTAAGCCAACTTGTAGTCTTTAGTGGTCTGTGAAAGTTATTGCTATGTTACAGTGTAAGCCAACTTGTAGTCTTTAGTGGTCTGTGAAAGTTACTGCTATGTTACAGTGTAAGCCAACTTGTAGTCTTTAGTGGTCTGTGAAAGTTACTGCTATGTTACAGTGTAAGCCAACTTGTATTCTTTAGTGGTCTGTGGAAGTTACTGCTATGTTACAGTTTAAGTCAACTTGTAGTCTTTAGTGGTCTGTGAAAGTTACTGCTATGTTACAGTGTAAGCCAACTTGTAGTCTTTAGTGGTCTGTGAAAGTTATTGCTATGTTACAGTGTAAGCCAACTTGTAGTCTTTAGTGGTCTGTGAAAGTTACTGCTATGTTACAGTGTAAGCCAACTTGTAGTCTTTAGTGGTCTGTGAAAGTTACTGCTATGTTACAGTGTAAGCCAACTTGTAGTCTTTAGTGGTCTGTGAAAGTTACTGCTAAGTTACAGTGTAAGCCAACTTGTACTCTTTAGTGGTCTGTGAAAGTTACTGCTATGTTACAGTGTAAGCCAACTTGTAGTCTTTAGTGGTCTGAAAGTTACTGCTATGTTACAGTGTAAGTCAACTTGTAGTCTTTAGTGGTTGACTTCTTCAACAGAAGAAATCCTGTGGTTATGCAATCTTAATATCATTATGCAATGTCTTGGTATTATGATGCAATCTCTTGGTATTAATAGCAATGTCTTCATATCAATAGCAATGTCTTCATATAAATAGCAGTGTCTTCATATCATGAAATGTCTTCATAGCAATAACAATGTCTTTATATCATTATGCAATGTCTTGGAATTACGATGCAATCTCTTGGTATTAATAGCATTGTCTTCATATAAATAGCATTGTCTTCATATCATGAAATGTCTTTATAGCAATAACAATGTCTTTATATCATTATGTAATCTATGGGGTCATTACCCATTTTCATAGTGTCATTATGTGATGTCATGAAATTGTTTTATTCTCAGCTATTTAAGAAATTAAATAATTAGCACTCAGCCTCTTCGGTTCCAGTCCCAACTTTCTTACATTTTTACAATGAAATCTTGACAAGTATTTCATTGTATACAAATCTTGACAAGTATTTCATTGTATACAAATCTTGACAAGTATTTCATTGTATACAAATCTTGACAATTATTTCATTGTATACAAATCTTGACAAGTATTTCATTGTATACAAATCTTGACAAGTATTTCATTGTATAAAAATCTTGACAAGTATTTCATTGTATACAAATCTTGACAAGTATTTCATTGTATACAAATCTTGACAAGTATTTCATTGTATACAAATCTTGACAAGATTATTGTTTACAAAGAAAAGGTTTGTTTTACCCTTACATTTATGTTATTCTCTCTGGCGGCCGTTGTTGGCATCTGTTACCTGGTTAATATATCTTCAGTGTCGTATATTTTTAGTTGTCAAAACTGCAGAAGTGAATCTGAGACTCCCGCCACGTTTTATGAGCTGGACTTGAACATCAGAGGCCACTCCACACTGGCTGCCTCCATCAAGGACTTCCTCCAGGTGAATTGACCTCTGTCAGCTTTGTTACACCAGAATTGATTTCATACACAGACCATTGCACCACTTGCCCATATTTCATTCACCAACCATTGCACCACTTGGTCATATTTCATTCACCAACCATTGCACCACTTGGCCATATTTCATTGACCAACCATTGCACCACTTGGCCATATTTCATTGACCAACCATTGCACCACTTGGCCATATTTCATTCACCAACCATTGCACCACTTGGCCATATTTCATTGACCAACCATTGCACCACTTGGCCATATTTCATTCACCAACCATTGCACCACTTGGCCATATTTCATTCACCAACCATTGCACCACTTGGCCATATTTCATTCACCAACCATTGCACCACTTGGCCATATTTCATTCACCAACCATTGCACCACTTGGCCATATTTCATTCACCAACCATTGCACCACATAGGGATTTTAACAAAGGAATTGTACTTAATTTATGTGCCTGATTGAATCCAACCAAATCCTATGGGACATTAACAAGTCAAATGAAGAATGGGGGAAAAAGCCCGTTTACCTTGTGATACGTTTGTCATAAATTCTTAATGCTTGGTCATTTTCCAGAGTAGAGTTCAAAATGTGTAACAATTTCAACTGTCAGTACTTAATACTTTTTAGAATACATGAATTATTTATCCACCATTGTGTGCACCAACTGTCCGCTTGGTAACAAGTGACCATTGTGTCCATCAACTGTTCACTTGGTAATAACTGACCATTGTGAGCACCAAACGTCCACTGGGTAATAAATGACCAATGTGTGCACCAGCTGTCCATACATGCACTTGATACTAACTGACCATTGTGTGCACCGTTGTGTGCCCCAGCTGTCCACTTGATACTAACTGACCATTGTTTCACTGGTGACCAGGAGGAAAAGCTAGAGGGAGACAACCAGTACATGTGCAGTGTGTGTAATAGTAAACAGAACGCCACCAGGACCATCAAACTGAAGAAGCTGCCTCCGGTGCTCAACCTGCAGCTGCTCAGGTTTGTCTTTGACAAGTGAGTTGCTCTTGATCTCTTAGAAGGGTTTGTCGTAGATTTTTTAAAAATAGTTTATATTTACTTTGCTTTTGTTCGTGTGTTTCCGTGTTTCAGGCAAAATCTTCAGACGGCTAATTGACCCACTTCCCATCATCCTATCGAACTGAAACTTGGCACATAGACTTGTTGCTGATGACTACACATTCCAGCAAAATTTCAGCCCAATCCCCAAAAATCTGTTTTTCAAGGAGAAGATGAATGAAATATGATTTGTTTAATGGTTGTGGGTTGTGTGTTTTGGTGTGGAGATTAATTGTGCAGCTGTTGCTATGTGCATTGTATTTGTGATGTTTTTGGGTATGCAGTAAACTATTTTTTTGGGGGGGGGGGGGAATTAAGGAAATATGAAATATGTTTTCGTCAGAAGCTTACCCATTTACATAACCCCTTCTTAAATAAATGATAAAATAACGTACAATTACACGGATGCAAACAAAAATGCATATAAACGATTTATATGGAAAACTTTGTTATTAGGGGTTGTTTAATTTTTGCACACCTCGTTCATTGTCTCGGGTCAGGCTGACATTGAGTAGAAATAAATTTGTTCATGGCCACAGTTTGGGAAAATGTTTCTTTGAAATTGTTGTTGTTGAATGAGACAGTTAAGTGTGTGTGTGATTACATTGACAAGAATAATGAATGATTTCTTAAATCTAATGACTTTAGTCGTTTAAAAATCATCGCTTGAAACATTTTTAATAACTCTCTCTCTCTTTCTCTTCTTCCCCCCTCCTCTCCCCCCCAGGAATAAAGGTCACAAGAAAAAACTGAGCAGTTTTATCCAGTTCCCTGAAACACTTGACATGTCACAGTACCTGGAGATGGGAGGGGATGAGGCTGTCTACGAGCTGACCGCAGTTCTCATACACCGAGGTCCAACGGCATACAGGTAAACTGTTTATGAGCACTTCTCAGACCCCATTTGCCCCAGACGAACTCCCCCCCCTCCTCTCCTCTGTAATCCCCAGCTTTTTACATGGAGGTCAGATGACGTATTTATGAAAACGAACGTTTGCCTTCTGGAAGTTCAACAGCTTTTTACATAGAAGTCAGCTGACGTATTTATGAAAACGTACATTTGCCATCTGGAAGTTCAACAGCTTTTTACATAGAGGTCAGCTGATGTATTTATGAAAACCAACATTTGTCTTCTGGAAGTTCAACAGCCTCAGTTCTAAAAAACATATTTTGCTCTTTGTCATACAGCTTCATGAACAGCTTCATGAACAGCTCATTGAAAGAATATTTCATTTCCACACTTTTTACCAATAATTATTGTCAGGGCTGCCAGTGCAGAAAAGGGCTGCCAGGACAGAGAGAAAAAGCAATAAAATATTAAACTAACAAGTTTTTAAATCATTTTTATTTGACCTGATCTTAAATTTGAACCAAATTTCAGTGGCCATTACATTGCCCACATACGTGAGCAGGGGGAGGCAGGGGCCTGGTACAAGTACAATGACGAGGAGATCGAGAAGATGAAGAATAAGAAACTGGAGCTGGGGAAAGAAGAGGATGCCTTGGGTGAGTCTATTTTAGATGCCTTGGGTGAGTCTATTTTAGATGCCTTGGGTGAGTCTATTTTAGATGCCTTGGGTGAGTCTATTTTAGATGCCTTTGGTGAGTCTATTTTAGACGCCTTGGGTGAGTCTATTTTAGATGCCTTTGGTGAGTCTATTTTAGATGCCTTGGGTGAGTCTATTTTAGA